AGCCAATCAAATTCAGAAATCCGTTTGTAGATCATTCTAGAACGTGATTTCTTAATTTGGTAAATCCCCTGACTGTACGTACTAAGTTTAATATGTTATCTCACCCCCTAACGTGATATCAAATTTTGGTGGCGCATTTATTAAAGAAATTCATCAAAAAAAACAATAATATAAAATGTTTCGTTCATTAGCTTCCCGTTCTCGCTTTCCACTTCGTAAATCTATTATATATGGTGATATTAGTTACCGTCCTACTCCTTTAAGTGTCGTAATGAGTTTAAAACCACGTTACTTTGTTCCTGACCCTTACGGTTCAGACGGTCACATTCGTAATTCGGGAGACGCTTTCTCTAAGAAGGAAAAGGCTGTTGAGGACCAATGGATTAGAGCTCATGTCTGTTTTAATTCTTTTTCATTTTTATCATGATTTAATTCATAAACTTTATTAATTTCTTAATTTATAATCTAGGATTCCGAGAAACTAAAGAAACTTCGTGAAGAGCTTGCTAAGCACAAAAAGAAACTTGAAGAACTTGAAGATAATATTGAAAACCTTGAAGGAGATGTTAATAAAAACAAAAAAGATTAAGGGTTGACAATTTTTATAACAAAGTTTATTATGTAATCAAAACTGCAGAACATATATTTTAATGCTATATGATGGTCTAATAAGAGTGAATTTGTAATTATTTTATTAAAAAAACATCTTGCATTCACCAAGAAGCAAATTGCAGATTGTTGCTTGCATATGTTATTATTGTACAAAAATATAATTTTGTCTTGGAGTATAATATGTCAAAGTTAGAAATAAAATATAAAACTATGTTCGAATTTTTAAATTCATATTTATGTTTGCAATAGTATTGAACATGGGTCTTCTGTAAAAATATCCTAAAAATATAGATTAATTTAAGAGTAATTAATCATCGATGATCTCTTCAGTCTCTTCCACTACTTCTTCAATCCATTCTTCAATAACCTCTATAGTATCGTCATCTCGCTTGGAAGGTGAAATAATACCAGAATTTTCCCTCTCTTCTAACAACTCCTTTTCTACCCTTCTACGCCATGCATTCCATTCATCCATCAGGCGGCGTCGATGAGCGATTTGCTCTTTAGACACCGTTGAATTTTCTAAGTAATCCTCTTCGTCAAATGTCTTAGAATACTCACGTAGATTTTTTCTTATTGTTTTCTTTTGTTCACTTGTTAATAAACTCTTTGGTCGAGGTCGCCATAACAATTGTTTGAATTTATCCATCAAATGTTTTTGCAATTGTGTACCCTTAAAATCCCATAAGATATACCCATTCTCTATCTATTTATTTTAGAAATATCGTTATCATCTCATTTTGCAAGTACAACGATCATAAACAGTAAATCTTTCTTAATGCTTACACTATGTCTCCAGAAGCTAGAGCTGGTAATAACGTAACGACCGGTAGGATCCCATTCAACGTCAGTGACGCCATAATGTTCTTGCGTGCTCATTAATTGTAAATTTGCAGCTGGATCGGCCTTTGCAAATTCCTTCTGTTCAAGAGTCGTTTCAAAATCTAGATCCCAAAATTCCAAGTCAAAAGTTGTAGCAGAACGCAAAGTAGCTAAGATCACATGTCGGCCTTGGGGCGACCAATAAATGGCGTTTGATGTTTTTTTTTCAAGAGTTTCTAGATAAATAAATGTTAAATTTTTGGTTGCTTATGTTTTTTAAAGAAAATTATATAAAATTATAACTACTTACTTATTAGTTTGAAATTAGCAGTCCCAACTGAATCACCTTTACCAGGTTTTGGTTTTTCAAGATAATAAAATGATACACTTGTTTTTAAGGTTACGCCACCTTGTGTTGGTTGAGCATAATTGGGATCACTTGTTGTAATGATTGCAAAACGTTCACCCTTGGGCTCCCAGGCGAAAGCAATTACTACATCTAAATGAAAGTAAATAATAAAAATCAAAATATATTTTACAAAAGCTCATCAAAAACTTTGGCTAATATTACAAGTACCTTTCACTTCAATAACTTCAACGGGGATATCTTTTTCACGAACTCTAAAGATTTCAAGATTAGAGAAAGTTGACTTTTTGGTTTTTGTATGGCGGTCCACTTTGACGCACAAAAAGTCACCATTTGATTGCCAATGCATTTTGCACTAAAAAAAGTTATTCATGAGATTAATGTCTGCCTAATAAATATCTTCATATAATAAAAAGAATTATTTATGAGCAAGAAATTCATAGCATACATCTGTAACGTTAACCAAATTCCTTGTTCGTACAATATCTTTCGATGGAATATTTAATAAGGTCACACGAGCAGGTTGATTTCCAATTTCTGGTGTCCAATAACTAAGTAATTCTTCTCTTTGCTTCTTATCTCCTGAATGTTTATCCTTTTCTTTTTCTTTATCAGAAGCAGGAGCCCATTCAAAATCAACTAAACCTTCGATCTTGATACTTTTATTACCAACTAATCCCATGCTAGGTGTTTCATATACCGAAAGTATTTGTTGCCCCTGTTGTCCTTGTTGCCCCTGTGTTACTCTGGCAAAGTACTTGTCAGATGGCGACCACTTAAACATTGGCCATGTAATTTTGTTAGGAGTCCCGTCAGTGGATGATGTTGATGACGGGAATGATCGAAGGAGATTACCGCCATGAACATCCCAAATAATAATTTGACGTCCCTCATCCTCATGACCAAAAGGCGTACCCGCTCCTCCATTAGGCCCAAGAGTAATTGGTTCATTACTCCACGTAACAAGATATTTTTCATTAGGTGAAAAATCTATAAGTTTAACACCTGAATGTACAAATCGAATTATCTTGTTCCAACTTGGCCCACCCCATAATGCAATGCCTTGACGATGAAACGTTGCGAGATAAGTACCTAAGGGAGACCATTGGACATATGTCTCCGTCCAATTCTATAAGATAAAATTAAAATAGGGAACTTTGACAAAGAAACTCTGATATTACATGATATGTGCTTACTATTCTTTTATGGACCTCTTCAGGTGGTTCTGTCTTTTTGTTCCAAAATATGGACACATCATCACCACGGTAAAGTACAAATTGATCACGGGCTTGAGGATCAGTAAGCCAACTTCTCAAATGCTCCTATTGATAATGTAAATATTAATTTGAAATTATGAATGAATAAATTTACGTGATGACATACTTTTTCCACAAATTTTTCTTCTTCCGGTTCTCTGTACTCTTCTTCAATCTGCGAATATTTCTCAATATCTGTGAATCTGTTCACTGAAAGTATATGAGTTTTATCCATCGGATAACCATCATATTGTTTTATGGCCATCACTGCTTGTTCAGGTGTTTCGAATTCAATGAAGAGAAATCTGAAAGTTAAAATGATCCAATTTTTATAATGTAGAACAAGTTCACAGTTTACGAAGCTTGACAAATAATGGAAAAGTTTATTCAAAGTTTACCCTTTTGAAGTTGGATCTTCGGTCTCAGGATCAGGGTCCATTGGCATATGGATTCCCCCCTCCTTGATATTACCAGCATTCTTGAAAATTTTCTTGATAAATTTTAATAATTTATCTTTTTTACTTTCGTCGACAACTGGCGCGTTGTCCACTACAATAATTGTATCAAATCCATCTTCAAAAGGAACTTGATACTTTTCTTCAATATCGGAAAAATCAATGTCTTCTATTGATTGTGGAAATTGTCTAGCATTATCAAAACCTGGCATATTGCTAAATTGATCAATTTACTTATCGCAAGCATTATATATATATATAAAAAAAAAATGCTTGTCACATGATGGAGAAAATTTGTTACGTATTAAAATGATTATCATTTTTATCGTTATATAATAGATTAATGATTTACCAATGATTTTTATTCTCATCAAACTCATCAACTAATAAAATGTATAGAGGTCGTGGAGGGCAGCGAGGTGGTCGTGGACGAGGAGCGAGGTCAATTGGTAATTACACCATATTTATTAAATATAAATATATTTGACAATCTAAAAAAGATCAATACCTTTAATAGGTCGTAATTCTTTCACACAGTCAACAGGACCTATAGGACCCCCAGACAAAATTGCAGGTGAAATTAATTTTTATTGTTTAATTTTAATTGACATAAAATTCCTTATTTAATGACTTTTTGTTCGACTTTAAGAGATGGGTACTTTCCTTCATGCTTGCGAAGGAGATATGGTTTGCCTTTCAACCAATAAAAAAATACCATATTTCAACGCTACAATATATTTAGAAAATAAGCAATCGATCGGTAAAGTAGATGAAATTCTTGGTCCTATGAATAAGGTCTATTTTACTGTCAAACTTCAAGAAGGTATTGTGGCGACATCATTTAAACCAAATGATAAAGTTTTTATTGGTGAAGACAAACTACTACCACTTGAAAGATTTTTACCTAAACCTCCTCCACCCAAATTTAAAGGTAAATATTTTAAACGGATGACTTGCGTTTGTAATATAATTTAATTTTCTATTCAAAAATATTTCAAAATTGATAAAGACCAAAGGAAATTTCCGAATGGTAATTATTAATGTTAATTTAGTTAATCTTGGTATACCAAATATTTAAATTATAATAATAATGCCATTATTATTTTAAAATAGTCCGAAATAGAGGTCGTGGAAATTTCAGAGGTCGTGGTGGTAATGTTGGATTTCGCAGCGGACGCGGTGGATTTGGAAATCGTGGCCGTGGTCGTGGTGGTAATCGTGGATTTAGGGGGCGCGGCCAACGAAATTTCAATGTCACGTGATGCGTGGCGCGAACTAGTGTTGCGACCCAAACCTTTTGCAATTCTTGAATGTGTGCCGGGTTGATGGCGCACTACCCAGCCACAATGTTCTTTTTTATTTCAGTATATACAGTGCATTCATAAAATTTCTTTTTCAACGAAAACTTCCACCATGTGTTTCTCAACCGTCCTGTACTTTGAAAGTTTTCTATATTTCTTTTGTGAATTGAAGGCATAATATAATTTTTAAATTTTTAGTTCGTTAATTATAAAAAGGTACATTGTAAAGGGAGTTAACCGTACTTAATATGTAAGTAGAGTACATTACAGTAATTTCGGATGCATGTAAGGTTATAAAAATATTTTAAAAATGAAACGTCTTTAACATTAAGGAACACTACTATTATTCTTTTTTTAAGATACGATTCAGCGTTGATTATGAGAAAAGTTTTTTTTTTTAATTAAAGAATTTTTTTTATACTATATAGTACGTGTTTACGGTATTTGAGTTTTATTATTATACTTTTAAAGCCAATATTTTTCTCATACGCGCATTTAGCTGCCCGATACGATAGTATCGGAGCAGCATTTTGTCTCGAATCGATCACGGGGTTTGGTGATTGTTAAGTGATGCATTGTATTGATTTTATCGTGTGATTTTGCATTGTTGATAGTCGTATGATTTCGTATGTAATTATTAGGTCGTATTGACGTAGTTTTTGCCATTAGTAGTTTTTAAGGGGATGGGTTTTTTCCCACGAAAGGTAATTTCTGTTTTTTCTGCTAACCCGACTTTGTCTGGTTTTTTCGTCCCACCCTACCCAACCCTAATGGGGGTTATTGAAGCAATAACGATAACCGGCAGCACAGCAGTCAAGTTTTTGGTTTGGGTAGGTTTTGGCCTGTCGAGACGACAGTCATAAACAAGTTCTGTAGTCAGTAGTCTGTCGAGACGGCAGTCATTGGGGTTTTTTGTGGTAGCGTTTACTTTGAAGTAATAGGCACCAGTTTTTCTACTTGGTAGCGGCAGAGTTTTTTCCAGAAATTCTGGTTTTTTTCGCCCTGCCCTCCAAGGATCGTTTTTAGTAACATCTGTAGTAATAGTAGCATAAGTCGCTTTTTCGATACTCTCGAATTCTGTACTATTGTAGCCATAGCACGAATGCGGAAGGGACAGATAACCCATAATTGATTTTCTTCGTTTGTTTTTCATTTGTAACCCCCGATGAGAGACAAATTATACCGTATAAACGCGAAATAACACGCAGGGGTGTAATTTCGAAATTTGGCCCATTATTCAAAATAACACCCCTGTCGCGCTTATACGGTATTGAGAACTTTGACGTTCTGGTCTGTAAGTTTTTGAAAATTATAAATTATAAACATTATGAAAGAATACAGTATTTTCTGAATTCAAAACAATATTAGAAGCTAAAGATTATGAAAAAAAATGAAAGGAAACGTGCTTTTTTGAAATAACAAGAACATGATTCGAGAGAAATAACGTAGAATTTTTTAATTAGCGTAAATTATTTGGACTGATTAATGCGCTGCCAACCTGGCACACATTCAAGAAGTGGAATCACGATTTCTACTTAACTTGGGTCACAAGCAAAACTTAAATGTGTCTCATTTTCGACAGTAGCGGTAGTGCCATATTCGGAACAAATCAAATTTATGCATTAAAAAATTCTACACGAATCCGACCTAAGAATTGAATAGATATCAAGTAATTAAATACGGTTTAGCTATGTGAAAGTCTTATTTATATAATTAAGATTTTGAGCCAAATTACCATACTCAGTAAAGAATTTATAGTTCGTGGGCGTTCATCGATAGTTTGATTATTTCATAGTACAGAATACATCTATATCACATAATTTGGTGTTTATCACCGCAGAATAGCACATAATATGCCAATTTTATACAATTTTATAAGAATTTTCACATAATTTGGCAAGTTGATATAAAATCAAACAGAGCCGGTATCTTCCAACATAGAATTTGAATGAACTCAAATTACGAGCAAGGTCATGGCCCCCTAATCAAATTTATGGATTTTTTATGGAAACTAGTTTTTAGTTATTAGGTTTTCAGCATAAAAATTTAGATTATTCTTATTCCATGTTTTATTAATAACATGAGCCTTCAAAAATTTAAACGATTAAGTAAAATTATTCATAATATTATTAATTTTTTGTTTAAACATAAATAGTTTTATGATTTCAGCATGTATAATTTTTTATTCAATGCCTTACTATTAACAGATATATATATAAAATAAATCAATATTTTATACGTAATATTTTTACACAATACTGTAACATCATTGCATAAACTGAAATAGTAAACTCATTGAATAAAACCGTTATTGCATACTACGTAATCAACCACTGCTGTATTTTATATTCTCTTCTAATTGTTCGGCAACCGACTGGGTTACCAACCAATCATCATTGACCATAAAATACAGCAGTTGTTTCATACTTCGCATGTAATACAGTGCGAGATAGCATAAACCAACACATTTTTTTTAGTAAAATGCGCCAAATTTTAAAATTACATAATCAATTTATCAATTTTGATTGGCTAATATAATCTAATCAATTGTGATTGGTCAAAAATAACATAAGTTTCTTTTTTTATAGTAAATGCCAAATTTTCAATTTCATAGTAAACTTTAAATTGATATATCTTCTTAAAATTAAAATAAAATAAAAATCTTTTCTAGCCAAATTGTAGCTTAAACTTAAAGCTACAAATTGGCTAAAAAATTTTTTTAAATTTTTTTTTATTTTTTTATTTTTTTTTCAGTGTTAAGGACTTTTTATTAGAAATCAATGGTACTGGATACAATAAAGATACAACTAGCCATTGTGCTTTTGGCACTGTCTACACTAGATGCCTGTACCTGCAGCCTAAACTAGAACTACTTATTTAAACCTTCTGATTTTAATCATATATATCTTTTCATTCTAACCAAGAGACTACCACAATTACAGCTCATCTCTGTAGATTTCGCATCTTGCTTTAGAATTCCTGAGGATTTATTCTGGGTTTGTACTAACTAATTACTGGCTTGCATTTCTCTGTTGAGCAGATCACAAGTTGAATTAATGAATAACAGGTATATATTGGGAGACAAATCTCCTGATATGTATTCATTATTCTACTATAGATCTGTTAAATAACTGTAGCATATTATTAGCATATTGGTAGCATATACTGTAGGTTAGATATTGGAAGTAGATTGATAATTGTAATATAACAGTAATATACTGGGATATCCTGGTATCTTACTTTTGGCACTACAGTATTTGAACTAAAAGTAAGATACCGGGATGTCCCAATATATTACTATTATGTTACTATTATTAATCTACCTCCCAATATCTAACCTATATATTACCAATATACTACAGTTATTTGGTGGATCTATAGTAAAATAATGAGTACATATTAGGAGATTTATCTCTCGATATATACTTGTTATTCATTGATTCAACCTGTAGATACTATAGCTATTCTTGAAGTAGATCTACTAGAGCTTTCTGTATTCTATTCTGGCTAGCCTAGTCCTTATAGTCTCCAAAAATTCCACTTGCGATATAGTTTAATAACCACTATTCCCTTATAAGGTTCACTTTTTAACTCAATATCTATATTTAAACTTTTCTTTTTTTATTATTTTCTAACTAGTTCATCTCTTACTTCCAATTGGCAACTCAAAAGGTTCGACTTAGGCCCGGCTCTAGGTGCCTTTGGCCCATCTTACCTTGGTCCATATTTCTATAGCATATATTTTTTTTCTCCAGTTCAGAAATTCCTAGTTCTCTGATATATCCAGTTTATTTTTTTAGTATATGCCTTATGTTTGTGTTTTCCAATCTGCAGATCTGCTAGGAGTAGGGTTTCCTGCTGCCAGTTTTTCAAGTCAGCGACTTAGTTGGTATACATTATATATGTTTGTTGATTTCCAGTTTTTCTGAATTGGCAGTTTGGTTGATGAATCTCTTACTTAAGGATTTTTTGTTATTTGGTTTATTGGTCTTAGTCTTAACTTTCAAATTTGGTTTTTTCTATAGTACTGTTAAAGGTTTCAGCTATCTCCTTACTTGAGACTTCCAAATAGGTATTAATTATTCTAATTATCTAGATTTCATATGCCAAAGCTCTTATTCTAGATGAATAATACAGGATCACTCTTTCTGACAATCATTTGAACTGAATTTTCTAATAAAAAGAAAAGCACTTTCGATACTGGAGAGTAGCAATAATCTGTAGTGAGGTGACATCAACAGGGCAGTTTTTATAAAGGTCAACCTTCTCTACCTGTCGGGGACTTCTTTATGTATTCGACATGCAAGCCAGAAGTATCAGTGTACAAGATAACTGGCAGATGATGGTGCCCTTGTATACAAAATTTTGGTGGATAGGTGGAGGTAATAAAGTCCAAGCCTTCTATCAATGAAGCTATTAGTTGCAAAACAACTGAGAAACAGTAAAGAATGGGTTTTTCTCAAGTCGCTCTCATTTATTTGGTCAAGTGGTTCCTTTTTTACTCTCTTTCGTCTCCTTATCGGTCTTTCAAAAAAATTTCGATAAAAAGTGAGGATTTGGCTTACCTCCTCCAAAAGATTGACATTGTTTATATCTCAAATTTGGACGAACTAGTGGAATGCAACCACGTGTTTGTTTATGGATAGATATAGCGCTATTTCATGGGACTCAGCCTGGGAACTCTAATTACGGCAATAGATGGCTTGAGATACAGGTCCTTCTTGGGTTAGGATAAGTGTAACCCTCGGACAACGGCAGCACCTGGCTTGAGATACGAATTAGGATGGGCAACAAAGTAATTCGGAGTTGGTGGAAAGATCGGAAAGTGACTTTAACGCTAGTGTGAAGCCTTACAGAAGAGATATACAAGCATTGCATTTGTTATATAATTTTTACCAGCCTTGTATAGGTTATAATAGTGCCTTTAAAATTTTAGATTTCTTTTTATGTTTTTTCTTTTT